GCAACCGCTTCTTCAGTACCGAAATATCCTGTTATTCACCTGCTATGAGATGAACGCAATGCAATTGCCTGCGTACCTGCGCGTTGAACCTGACGAGACTGCCAGTTCCTTTGGGGAACTCGTTGACGCGTCTTAGCTCTGACGTGTCGCATGAACGTGCGCCAAAGTTAAATGCGAAAGCAGCTGGGTAATCTTCACGGAACAATGTACTGGTAAGGCGAAATCATATTTACGCACGAAGTTGGATACGATAAGAAGCTGACTATAGTATTGGGAAAAACATGGCCGCGCCTAGCATTGCTCGGCATAAACAAGAGGACACAAGCTCTCCGGCTTGCACCATCAACACATTGTTCACTGGAGATCTAATTCGTACAACGAAACCAGAGTATCCTGTTCCTTCTAAGTTGCATGCTGAAGACAGCCGCGTACCATGACATATCAGTCTCGCTTGATCCTTCCATTTCCACTGCCGCACTCCAATTCTCCCACAACTCCGCGTATTCTTGAGTACAATCTTGGCAACACCAGCACTCGCCCATGTATTCGAATCCGATCATCTTTCCTTCTCTTGAGGTACTTCCAGCATGAATTATGGCGCGGCTGAACGTGTCGCTCGCATCTCACTTATACGAACAGTCTCGGCAGCCTCCGGAAAGCTTCTGACCATGCGCTCAAGTATACTTTCCGTATGGTCCGCCCAGCCCTGCTTATGTGCGGCACATATAACAACACCTCCGAAAGTATGAGCCTGTGGCGCGCCGTATGTCTCTCGGTAGCTGCACTCGGAGCATAAGCCCTCGTCAGCCTTTTCCAACATTTCCCCGAGGCCGTTAAACAACAGGATCTTCTCTCGTGAGAGGACGTGGCGATACTGTTGGAGACTTTCGGCTTCCTGCTTTTTGGTTTTCTTCTGCTCGTCGAGCCTGTTCCATAATTTGACGTGCTTCCTCGTTTGCTCGATGACGCGCTTGTCCTCGGGTCTGCCTATGGTAAGACCCTCTTCCACAAAGCGGTACCTTCGCATGATCATGTGAATTGGGCCGCCAAAGTAGCGAAGGAAGTTGATGACACACTTCATCTCAGGTTGTCTTGCCCACGCTACGTCCAGTGCCCAAAGCGCCTCGCGGCACTTGTGATAGGCCATTACACGCTTGCTTTCTGGGACATATGCGAAAGTGCTGTTGATTTCTCCCTCGGAACGATGCTTCCAGTACGATATACCATCGTACATTGTATTGCCGATTTCGGCCATGATGTCGAATTGGTCGTTGGTGAACCAGATGTGGTCGAGGTCATTGCAGACCAGAGCAACACCAATGGTGAAGCGAGCGAGCGCGTCGGTATCACGCATGCGGAAGAATTGCCAGGGACTCTTGGAAAGAGCAACACTGTAACGACGAAACAGCATGGTGTTTGTCTGATGACGTGACTTTTGCGACGACATCAACAGAAAGCAGCGGTATTCGCGGCACATCTCGGCACTGGAAGGGACGTGTTAGTGAAAAGACTTCAAAGATCGGAATTGCCTGACAGCGGTGACATACTGGCCTGCTGTTCCTCCACACAATGTATCTAACACCTCGGTAAGGCTGTAGCCTACGACATTATCGTCATTGGCCACGTCCATAAGGCTACCCTTGAATTCTGCGATGATTCCCATGACGATGATGCGCATGAACGCAACATATCGTGACCAATTCGTGTATTCAGGAATGACACAACGAGTATATTCCCAAGCCGTGGCAAAGATCTCCTGTTTGACCCTGTCTGGGAGATCTATATCCTTCAAGTCATTCGCAATGTCGGGCGGGTAGTACCAACGCTCATGAACGACGACGGCCTTGTTCTTCACTGATTCATCAGATTGTGGAGCGCATTTCTGATCATCTTTGGGAAGGAAGTTCTGGATCTCTTGAGAGCGCAGACGCTGTTTTTCTGATTAGAGCCTTTCTCAATGTTAAACGATACTGGACGTACACTGAAGAGCATGACCCCTGTCCAAACGATCCCGAAGCCTATGGCGTTTGCCCAAACTTTGGTCATGAAGGTAGACATGGTGATGCTGAAGAAACTTCTCTGTAAAGAGTTCGGATAATCCGAGATAATCTTGGTTGTTATGGAGAGTGACCGTAGTAATGTCGTGGTGCGCCACCTTTATATCGGAGTACATGTTGCCAATGCTGATACCTTGGTAGCATATGGTCGTTTCGATCCATAACCCAATTCGTCCCCTAGCGTTTCATCGGCCATCCACCAATGGTCTGCGTTCCATCCGGGATTAGAGCAGCTAAGAATTGACCCGAAACCGATGTCTCTCCCGAATCGCAGCAGCGGGGTATTTTCCAGATCTTCAAGGCTGTCATGCAGTATTGAACATTGAGTTCGATTTATCCGGCATGGCGCGGTTCAATTCATCGCAGCCTTATAAGACATCGGCATCTTGTCAGCAAAAGCACAATATAGGTGGTATATCTGCCGCTGACGCTCTTTGGCGCATTTTGAGGCAATTCCACGCATTTCAGCATCTCTGGATAGAAAGTATTGGTAGCATTAACGACAAAGATGAAACACACCTTCTCCCAAATCCCTTTTGCAGGATGGAGTATTCTGCTGGTGGTGAGCTTGACAGTTCCTAATATATGAAACAAATGCTGAAATTTGACCCAAGATCTTCATACCCATCCTAGGACAAGCTGTGTATCGCCGGTGGTTGCATAGCCTAAGCAAGTACCCAGGACCTTGGTTTAACAGCGTCTCGAGTATTCCAAGCGCAATTGCAGCTTTCCGCGGCGTCCAACACCTGTACAACTACAAACTGCATCAAAGATACGGACCAGTAGTTCGGATCTCTCCCGATGAACTGAGCTTCACTGAGTCGTATGCTTGGGAGCAGATCTACGGTAATCGTGTATGCTCATTCAAGACTGTCTACAAACTGGTCGTAATGTCGGCTGATTATTCTGTTTAGCATGGCGACGTGATGGAGAAAGCGCCTCTCTTTATCGGCGTTGTAAAGCCAATCGATGGCTGCGTTGGCATTGGCCTTGCTAGGGGATCTGAGCATACCAGACAACGACGCGCAATGGCCGTCGGCTTTACGAAGTCTGCTCTGATGGCGCAGCAGGAAATATTGGAGGTTCAGACCACCAAATTGATCCACGCCGTCAAGACCCAAGGCAAGAACGGTAAAGCTCTAAATATGAGCGACTGGTGTATGACTCTCTTCCTGCTTTCTTCCCACTGAGCATGGTGACACAATCTAATCAAATGCAGTATCCTTTACGACATTCGACATCATCGGTGATCTATGCTTCGGCGAGTCTTTCCATTGCTTGGATGAGGGCGTTGCAACAGAATGGGCGCTGGCAACTACGAATGTTCTGATCTCCTCAACTCTGGATATGGCCGTTCGGAGAGTTACGGGAGTCGGTACATGGCTCAACCAGATGGCGCAAAAGCTCATGCCAAAGGAAGCGATGAAATGGAGGATGATAACCTTTATGAACACGAAGAAGAAAACCTTCGACCGTAAGCCATGACAGGACTTCTGTGAAGGCAAGGTCAGCTAATATGTTCCAAGGTCTTGCCGACGAAACCTCTTCTCACAAGGACGTTATCTATCATATACAGCGCAACAAAGACGCACGAAAGACTCTTGCACCTACAGAGCTCCTCCTCAACATGACACTTCTTGTCACCGCGGGCTCCGAAACCATTTCCACTCTTCTCGTCACTTTCATGTACAATCTCTGCGTCCATCGTGAGATTCATAAACGTCTCGCTACCATGATTCGCACGACCTTCGCGGATCCAAGTGATATTACACTGCAAAAGTTGGAAGAATTGGTCTACCTCGACGCGTGTATTAAAGAAGCGCTGCGCATATTCCCACCAGTCAGTTCAAATCTTCCTCGTGCAGTCCCAGCAAAGGGTGCACAAATCGGTCCGCATATACTTCCGGGGGGTTCGCTGGTCTCCGTAGCTCCATGGGCAGCAGTGCGGTCTGAAAGCAACTTCCATCTGCCAAACGAATTCCACCCCGAGCGATGGTTGCGCAACCACCCCGAACAGGGATGGGACCCAGCCTTTGAGAATGACAAGTTGTCCGCGTCGACACCGTTCGGAGCTGGACCAAAACAGTGCATGGGCCAAAGCTTGTCATACTATGAGATTCGTTTGATAGTGGCGCATCTACTCTGGACTTTTGACTTTGAGCTAGAGATGGAGGGCATAAAGGGCGCAAAGAATCAGTTGTGGAGTCTGAGTCCCTCCACCGAGCTTCTCAGATCGTATCAGACACTCAACCGACCGGAATTGTATATTCGGTTCAAAGAACGGGAGATAATTTAGGGTTCTACACCAGTCGCGAACTCAAGAAAGTGCTGCTTTTGGATACATGATGTCGGCTAAAGGATGCTTATCATTTTCCCAGATGAGCGCAAAGCAGGGTGAATCGGGCTTTGATCGTGGATCATGTAGAGTTTGGAGCTGCGAAAACATTCTTGCAATAGAATGGGCTCTCGCCATCTTGTGTCTGCTATATACGCAATTCGTAGCTCCTCATTTCCGGCTGTTTCGTGGTGTTGATTACGCTACAATATTGGCGATGATATTGCTCGCAAAGGGATCGGTAAATAACGTTTCATTCTGGAGATTCAATTCAAAGGAGGCTGTACAGGGCTCATAGAGTTCAAACGATAAATGTGTGTAGCGATACAAAGCGATTGCAGTGCTAAAGAAGCAGTTCTGCAAACAAATCCTACGTAAATGCGTCGGAAAGTTCCGGTTCCGTTCGGAACTTCCGAGGCACATCAAAGTCCGGTAGTAGAACTTGTCTTTGAACGCGCGACAGCGTGTTTGTGATAGCATCCTATAAACACAATAGAAGGTGTGTTCCTGGTCTATAACCTTTATGCTCATGTGAGTAGAGGCGACCATGCGTGTCAATGCGATGTATTATGCGCTACGTGGCGTACAGCATCGCTGCTGCGGACTATCTATTTGGCCGGGCTGACCTGCGGGTCCTTCATACTGATCAGGACCGTCTTAGATTGCAAGTAGTCTTCTAGACCAGCCAAACCTCCCTCGCGGCCGTAACCACTCTCCTTGCATCCGCCCCATGGGAGCTGGGTCAATGGCATGACGGGACTATTAACTCCCACCATGCCAACTTGAAGAGCACAGGTAACGCGTAAAGCACGCGGCATACTGGACGTGAAGACGGCAGCGGCAAGTCCGTAGGATGAATCGTTGGCCAGCGCAATGGCCTCTTGCTCCGTGGAAAAGGTTTTGACCGCCAGAACAGGTCCGAAGATCTCCTCGCGGTATGCGCGACCGTTGGTAGGGGGGTCAATCAGGAGCGTTGGCGGCATGAATAGGGCGGTGGGATGGGTCGGCACTTCGCCTGCAACTACGCCAACGCCCCCGTCGCGTGCGGCATCCACAAAAGCCTGCACTCTCTGATGGTGTTGCTGGTCGACCAGCGGGCCGAAGAGTGCCTCGTTAGGCGGGCCGTGGGCTGCAGCCAATTGCTTAAAAGCGGTGCTCACACCTGCAATGAAGGTATCGGCGATGTCGCGATGGACAAGCACTCGGGAGGCTGCGGAGCACACCTGGGCGCCATTGAGGGCAAATGTCTGCGAGCAGTGCGTAATGGCGCTCTCCAAGTGGGCGTCATCGAAGACGATTGCGGCCGACTTACCTCCTAGCTCAAGTGTAACGGGCTTCAGGTTGCTCTTTGCAGCTGCAACTTGTACAGCACGACCACCGCTAACAGAGCCCGTATAGGCGATCTTGGCGATACCCATGTGCGAAGCCAGGAGAGCGCCTGTCGCTGGCCCGCCCGAGACCATGTTCACTACACCTGGCGGAAAGCCAGCCTCGCGAAAGAGCTGTCCCAAGTACAACGCGCCCAGGGGTGACTTCTCTGACGCCTTGAATACAAAGGTATTACCTGCTGCGACAGCGGGTGCGATCTGTTGCACGCCAGTCAGCCAGTATTTGGAAGTGATCAAGTGAACGGCATTCTCACCTTCCATCCCGCAAAGATGGGCGTCGCATTCCACGCCCCGATGCCTGCGCATACACCAATCGCCTCCTGGAGCACCATCTTGAAGAAGCCATCGCCGTCTTCCGTGTACGTCGTCCCTGCAATCTTGTCCGTCAAACCAGCGTAGTAGCGGAAAACAGCCACGTGACTTCCCACAACTCTGCGTGCCAGCATCATAGGCGATCCCATGCACTGTGACTCCAGTTGGGCTATCTCTTCTGTACGTTCCTCGACCAAATCGGCATACCGAAGCATCAGCGCACTGCGTTGCGCGCCCGTCATCGCCTGCCATATTGGGAGCGCTGCTTGCGCCGCCGACACAGCCAAGTCGACGTCTTCTTCTAGCGCCACTTCGATGTTGTTCGAAACAAGACTTCCATCGTAGGGATTGTACACCTTCAGTTTCTCGTTGGTATGCGACCCGACATACTATATCCGGTTTCATTAGCTCTCATCGCACTATGTTCCGCACTGTCTCTGCCTTTACCTCATTGTTGATGAACAATTTCTCTTGAATCTTGGTCATGTTTCGGTTGTATGGCTTTATCACAGATGAATGAGGAAATGGACACGCGATTGAGCTATCAACAAATCGAGCGGTTGATATTTGGAAGAGATGGGTGTCTTGGTAGTTTGTACTGCCTGTTCTGACTTCGATTTCTTTTTCGCTTATTCACCCAGCGACCCCGATCTCAACTTGTGCTGAAGCAAGCTAGTACGAAGCTGGTACAGCTGGGTATGAAATGATTGCTCCGGTAAGTGAATACTGCAGTCGTGCTTTTGTCGGGTCATTTCCTTCCATCGTCGGGTCTTTGGCTTACATCGTTCGGGTCGATTGCGTACAACCCGCGTATTACCCGACCAGATGCGCCAGCCGTCAACCGTCCGCCGACAGTGATGCTCCGCTCACTTCGCGAAGCGTTCGAGTCTGGACCTCTTCTCAAGTCAGCTCAGAATCAGGCACTCTGGTTCTAGACAACGAACGTCGTTTTGTATGAGGGCGGTAGGCATCCACTGCATGCATGTTATCAGAGTTTTGTCAACTTCTCTTTAGCATTATTCGTATCTATCGTGTATACCGAACTAATCCTCTCCTTCTCCATGTCGAGCCCATTGTCTTTATTAGCGCTCTGCGCCACGCTGGCCGCAAGTCTCGTGATTTTCCTAGTGTACAAGATCGAAGTTCACCCACGTCTCTTCAACGCGTTTCGACATCTCCCCACAGCCAGGGTAAGACATCACCATAACGTGCCCAAGACATTACTGACTAAGTCATCGTAGGGTGGACTACCATTCCTCGGCCATGGATTCCTCCAGTTCACCAATCCCCGTGGTCAAGCCTATCTGGACATGGCCAACTCTATACCGAACCAGGGCTTGATTCATTTCTATGGGTTCATGAACGTCAGTCATATCCTGCTAGTCAGTAATGAGGCCCTATCTGAGGTACTGGTTCGTCGCGCATATGCTTTCACCAAGCCAGCGGTAGCTCGACGATTGCTCAGCCAAATCCTAGGACCATCGCTTCTCATCTTGGAAGGCGATGAGCATAAATATCTCCGAAAACGTATCCAGCCGGCCTTTGGCCATCGAAACGTCCAAGATCTTTGCCCACTTTTTTGGTCGAAAGCTATTGACATGGTGGAAACAATGGAACAGTCCGCTGCTTTCCCTGACTCAACGGACTTTGTAGTGGATGTCCTGCCTTGGGGCAACAAGGGTACCCTCGATGCCATCGGTTTGGCGGCATTAGGAAAGGATTTCAACACACTACGGGAACCAAATGAGCTTACCGATTTATATGAACTTGTGACTGGTAGCAAAGAAGGCGTGCGTCTACTGTTCATTGCCAATGCTTTGTTGCCGGCCTGGTTATTAAGACTCTTACCACGCAAGTTCAACCGCGATATTGAGGATGCTCGCATCAGGCTGCGACAGCTTTGCAGTACCTTTGTAGAAGAGAGAAAGAAAGAAGTCACTGAAAACAGTGGCCAAAAGGCGCTCTTACTGCAGCTCATACAAAGTGGAACACTGACGGATGACGAACTTGTTGGCCAGCTCTTGACCATCATCGGTGCAGGGTATGACACAAGTTTAGATGATCTATTATGATATCATACTGACCGCAAGAAAGGTACGAGCCAACTTCAGCGACTTTGACCTGGACTCTCTGGCTGCTTGCCACCCATCCAGCCTGGCAAGACAGTCTCCGTGCCGAACTTCGCAGTCACATCCCCTATCGCTTCTTCGCCAACGACGCAGAAAGGTTTACTGAATTCGCTACCCTCGACACTCTCCCCATCCTCAATGCCGTCGTGAACGAAACGCTCCGTCTCATGCCCACCTCGCCCATCACCTCGCGCGTCGCCACAGAAGACACCACCGTTCTCGGCACCGCCATTCCAGCTGGAACACGTCTTTGGATCGTTCCCGCTGCCATGAACCGGTTTGCATCCTTCTACGGCGAAACGGCCGATGCATTCGATCCAGGCCGATGGATTGATGAAGACAGCGGCCGAGCTAACAACCATGGTAATGCCCATACCAATTATGCTTTCCTTACTTTTCTGCATGGACCGCGGAAGTGCATTGGAGCGGGATATGCCAAGGTCGAATTACGAGCTTTCATCGCCGCCTTTGTGGGTAGCTTTGAGTTTGAGATGGCGGACAAAAGTTATGTGCCTCAGCCTGCGGGTATTACGGCTGTCAAGCCACGGGATGGTTTACCCTTAAGACTGAAGCGCACAAAAGCCTGGTAATGAGTTGCAATCATCTTGTAAGATGTTTTTGGGGCATGTGATGGTGAAGATAATGGAAATAGGTAGCTTGGACGGACACAGGAAACAACATTGGGACATTTTGATACTTACACGCCATGAACTAGAGTAAATCACCTGTTCCAGTGCTCCAAGAGTGTTGTGATTCATTTCTGACTGATACGGGAGGAATATTGGTTGCTTTTTGTTCGTTACCTGGCATCCAGTAGATGACAATGACCGCTTTGTCACATACATATCCCACATCCAATCATTTCTTGGGTTACTCTGACTGCCGTGGGGAACACAGATACAAATACACCACGGAGATTATATTCGAGCATGACCAACCTAGGATATACGCTGAACAAGATAGGGACAATGAATGCAATATGAGACAATTTGTTGATAGATAGGTTAACGGCTGAACGAAGAAGGGTCATTTTGGCTCCACTACAGGACGTGGGAATGCCGCGGGCAAGAGGCTCGCTAGTGAGCGGTCTATCTATCGGACCTTTCTGCGTTATTTCTTCCAGCCCTCGAAGTCTCCCAACTACGAGCATGTCCACTTTTCTCACATCTTTGCCGATACTCTCACCTTCAACCCTTTATCCAAAAACACGCCGTAACCGATGTTTTCGCACGGCTCAAACGGCTTCACTAGCTGTAGGTCGAACAAGCGAAACATCTGTTCAAGATCAGCGACCATCACACCAAGACCGTTGTGCATACAGGAACATACCTCGAATACCACTTTTGCAATGTCCATCATAGCAATATTCTTGCCCGCACAGACCCAGCCCCCATAACCAAATACCATCTCAACATCTAACTCCATCTGCCTGCGTGTCTCTTCGTCTGCCTCCGTGAAGCGCTCTGGACGGAATACGTCGGCATCGGCGCCGAACAAAGCCGTTGACTGCAGCATGGATGACATGTTCATGCATACAGCGGTGCCTGGGGGTAGCAATTTGTCGTGAAAGATGGGTGATTCGTCGAGGGGTACGATCTTAGGAAAAAGACCTAGGATGGGTGGGCGCATACGGAGGCCTTCGTAGATGATTGCCTGCAGATATGGCAATCTCCGTGCCTGCTCTAAGGCTATAGGGTATGAGACGTTTTCCGCGCGTACCGCGTTCTGAATCTCGGCGACGAGGCGATTGTATACCGCAGGTGAGCTCGTGGTATGTACGAGAATAGAACGCATGGCGTTGGCGGTGCTCTCACTCCCGGCTAGCAGGAGGAACAGGCCTTCGGATTGGCATTCTTCCTCTGTGAAGCCCTTAGCCATAAGTGAGGCCTATACGAAGACTATCAGCTCGACAATTCCCATGGATCAGGTCTAGATGGAAGGGAAAATTGGGGAGGAAACTTGCCAGAAAGTCCTTGTGTCCACCATCAGGTGCTGAAAAGCGACGACCGACCCATTCAGCTGCGAAACTAATACAACGTCAGCGGAACCGCTCAATTGAAACGCAAGACGAGTATTCAGAGTCCAGAATCGCTGTGACTTACCCCATCAGCGCTCCAAAGCCCCTCGTATCACTGGTTTTTGGCCCCACGAACTTGAGTACAAAAGGCGAGAACAAAAACTTGCGAATCCAAGGTACATCAGCCACCGTCGACATTCTCGGCCAGAGCTCATCCACAGTTCCGAGGAAGTCGTAATGATCCTTTTCGTCCTCGAGATAGCCAACTGCTTTGCCAAACCCCATCCGTGTGATGACATCCATGGTGAAATAGGACGTGATAGCCACCAGATCCAGCAGCGGCTGACCGTTTCCTGACGAAGCTATCACGTAGCGATTTCGAATGACCTCTATGAACTTCTTGACCTGCTCATCGATTATGCCCTCAAGGTCACCAGTATCACGCCCGTTGTACGCCGCCATAGATCTGGCTTTCGCCTTCTTGTGCGCTCTTGGGTCGAGAATCGTGAACAAGTTGTCGCGATACGGATTGAAGCGGCCGGCATGATACCAGTCGCTGCGAGCGTAATTGCTCCGCGTGGATGAGACAGTGCGCAGGACGTTGGGGTCGTCGGTGAGGACTTCGTTGGGGCCGATGCGCACAAGCGGGCCATGTTTAGCGTGGAGATTGCGAAGGACCCAGTATTGACGACCGCTGTAGGTGGTACGACCCAGCCAGTAGTAGGAGAATGGTGCAGTGATATGCGCACTGGGAATGTGTCGCAGACGCTTCCACGTTTGAGTGTAATTCTGCGCCACCCAGATGACGACAAGAACTACTGCGATATGCCATGTTGACTGTCTTCTTATGTGAGCACCAAATAGCCTGTAGCGAGGCTGGATGCATCAAAGTTGATTAGTCTCATCTTTCTAGATGGTAGTGGCGTAATGAACTCGACATACCTCAGGAGACAGCTCTTCCATCATTCACGGACACTGATATTGCTGTCGCTTGGGCGTGGTCAGCTGATTGTTGGTAGTAGTGGGAGAGTGAAAAGAAAATCCAAGGACGTTTGTTAGATGATATTCCAACACACACGGAGGAGTGAAGCAAGTCGAAGTAGGCTAGTGATGGCAGGCGATAACGAAGATAGGTCGGGATGAGTCCACCGCTCATGCAGGGGATAAGCACGAGGTAAGCGCCCTCCTTCTAGGGAAAGAGAAAAAAGGTAACCAAAATCGCAATTCCATGTTACAAAGCTCAACTGAAATCAAACCAATACGCTTCTGGAGCTTACACGGCTCCAAGCTGAATGAGTATGACAATTGTCCCGGGGCATATGGATCATTGATTTCGGTACATACCAAATCGTACGGGTTTCGGACAAACCATCAGCATACTTTGCGTGGTCGTTAGCCTGAATAACAACTACAATTTCCCTGCCGATGAGAGTTTGAGGATTGCAGATGCAATATCAAGAGCCCGGCAGATATCAGGTCGTTTGTTGCTGGTTGTGGATTGCATAAAACATCATGTACACACATCTGCTGGTCGTAGCATTTCCGCTTAGATCACGGTGTCATCTCAAATATCGTATTAAGTGCCTTTGGAATATTAATGTATTGATATGCCGGACTATGTGTGGTTGAGTTCCAATTGAAGTCTCTCCATAAAAAATCCCCCGATGCGATACGAAAGTGTTCCACAGATAAGATGAACGACCCAACGCTTTGCTGACTGGGAAGAGAATCATAACTTCGTAGATTTTTACCTTACGTTGATATTAAACCGGAATACAGCGACCTGCGCTCTCCTAGATTTGGTGTTGAGAGACCTTGGAAAGTAGCTTTCTTCCTCTAAGATCCGCCCCTCATCTCCAACATCCCAAACATCTGCTGCGCTGCAGCTCCAGTATCGACTGCTGCTGACCGCATCCCATCCAAAAGGGTACTCTTGGTCTGGATGTCGAGCACTGCCAATTCCCGTGCTGTCTGGACGACTCGTCTGAGGCGAAGCTTTACTAGTGCCTCAAAACATGAGTGTGACATCTCTTTACTCAGTGTTAAACCACCAATCTTCAGGTATGTGACTTGACTATTGAGCGCGCTCACTGAAATCGACTCACGTATGTACGTCTGCAGATGCTCAATTACCCAGCTTATAGATGTACAAAACATCATGCTCACGTATGGCGAGTTGAAGGAGCATTGCGCGCACGTAGAGATTGTGTCTTTTGTCCTGTTTAACTGTTGCTCCACAGCAAAGACAACGTCTAGAGTAGTGGGTTTGGCAAGCCGAAGACTAACCAAGTGGATGAGCTGGCTCAATTGGGAAGAGCATCGGCAATCCACATCCTTGGATAGGTCGAAGAGGAGGTCCGAAGCGGTTGTATCAGAAGAGATAGGATCCTCGGAAAAGCCTGTTACGTGTGTAATAGGGATCTCGTCGTCCTGGTATGTGTTCTGTCGGCCTATCTGGCTCATGGGCGGTGATGGCTCTTGCGTTGGTTCTCCGGCAATGCTACCAGCGCCGAACTTCGTACCATTGAGCATGTCTTGACTTGACGAAAGACCCCACATCTGCTCCACAGAACCTGAGTGGTGACCGTTTGTGCAACCTGGATTGACTCCACTTGTACCCCACTCCCATAGCGAAAGATCATCGATAGATCCAAAGTCAACTGTGTCGGCACCATGTGGCAATTCCATTGACATGTTCGTAAATGACTCTATGGAAGCCATTTCTGGCGATAATAGAATCGTGCGTGCCTTTCCGTCTCTTGTATCGTTTTGTTGAGGGGTGCTCCGAGTCGAATCGTGACGCTCTGTCGGAAGCAGCGAGTCCGCCAGAATTGAAGAGGGTGTTAGAGGCGCTGTTCCCCGCTTCACTCGCGCTGTACCAACAGCGTTGTCCGTACCGTACAACCCCACTTCATCCGAGATCACAGATGTTTGACGCCGCCTGCCTGGACGGCGTGCTACGCTGTAGTTGCAGTCTTGTTGGCAGCCTCGGTCAACGCAGCGTTGACAGACTGGTTTTTCGCGACTGCATTTGAGCTTCGAAAGTGTGCATATATCGCAAGAGTTCCGCAGCCGGCGGAAGCCCAGACGCGATGGTTTCATGCTGGCAGCTTCGCGATGTTTGTTTGCGTTATCGTTCAAAACGGCAATAGGGCATATGTAGCGTGTGCAAAATTTGGAAGTCGGCCTCGAATAGATTGATATGAAAGACGACTGACTCAAGGTATTGTAACATAAATAAAGCGACAATCATGGGCTTACGAGACAAAACTCGATTCGAATGCACATATGCGTTTGCCTGACTAATTAGCAAGGGACCAACAAACTGTACTGCGCACTCGATAGCTCTAGGGATCCATGTCCCATTTGGGGTATGTGCAAACTTTGTGCCATAGTGATAGGGCTGACAACAACCAAGTGAGGCTCGAATGCCCACTGCATGAGGGTAAGGACCCCAGAATGGTCGATGAGCCAGCTATAGAACGTTTGCGCCGGCCGTTTCCCTTAGTGCTATGACTGCCGCTAGCCACTCACAGTTACCGAGTGCGAGTCCGCTTTGGAAATCGGAGTTATTTCCGCTGACGCAAGATACACACGCCTAGTTCACAGATCCTGTCTCTTGCCATCCTTTTGCTGTCGTCGCCTAGATAAAACGCTCCTGGACACTGGTGTCTGGCCTGATCGACACTAAAATCTAGTTGCCGGTACTTGTCGTCGATCATGGCACGCCGCTGTGTGGAAGTCAGGCTCATACATACACGACTGCCTTTCGTACTCTTTGAATACATTTTCGGTCGAATGCACTCGGTCGAAGCAGCTAACGCTGACGACCTCGCTCATATGTAGGCAATAAAGCGCCTCGACGACAATGGATAATGCGGAGACATAAGCTGAGGTTCCACTCCGCATCTCTCGAATGGACGTCCATGCTACGTCTTCCATCTCCGAGTACGAGATCTTCATGACACGAACACTTCCGGATCTGCCGTCGCATTGATGATTCCGCGAACCATTCTGTAGGTACGTTGGGTAAGAATGTACCGGCTCGGTGCCAACATGCCTTACAAATGGCATTGGGCAATCTTGGTTGCGCCAAAGTTTTCCCTACGCAACGTGTCGTTCGATCTCGTAGTAGACGTCATTCTCTGATAACTGACTTCCCCGTTGTAACAAATAACTCCAACCATCGCGGACGGCAACGTTTCGTGAAGCTTTATTCAGAAATCGACCTCGGGGACCGAGCTTACCGAGCAACGTTCAGGGCTGGCAGTCCCTTGCGACAGAAGGTCCAGATTTAGCACGCCATATCTTGCCGCGAATGTTGTACAATCGACGCTGTGATTGCAGCTTCCTTGCCATCTTAAGTACGATGTCGAACATGGGTCTTGCTATCGTGTGTTCTTGGTAGCGGGTACCGCGGCCGAAACACCGGTGTCTACGTCAGTACTCGTAGTGCACGTGCCTAAAAGCATAGGAAATGTTTCGTTCCGATTACAACTGTACCTAGGTAGTTGACCTGAGCTTAGCGATTATGATTACTCAGGCAGGTCAGAGTCGTGAGTTTTGGGAAAGCGGGGAAATGGTGGACCCGATACAGATCTGATTACGGCGCGTTGAGTGCACAAGCACCAAGGTCCGTGTCCTCCGCTATACCTCCGAGATCACCATCGGATGCGTCCGTTGTGTGTGGACAGAACCTAGCTGATCTCCTTACACACGCATCATAATGATACCCCGAAACATCAACTACGACTCACACACTGACAAACATCGGGTACCAACGATTCGCTGGTCAACTTCCAGGTTTTTGAGGCAATTGCATGCTGGTTGTACTGACGTGCAGGCGCGAAGATCGCGTTTCATGAACTAGACAAGGTTTCTGGTACTGCGTTTACACACGAGTCTGAAATAGACCATGGCTTAGATTACGACAGCGATGTTGAGAGCACCGCGAGATAAGGTTTGCCTGCTCACAGTAAGCAATGATTTTCGCCTTTTTGCTTCACATTCAGCTCCGCGGCACCAGTACAAAGCATCACTTCCGGCTGATAACCTTACAAATACTATCCGTTCAATCTCTCTCTTTGCTTCCAGATAACTCGCAGTAGTATCGTTTTGATCTATTTCTGGAGTCAGTGATGACCATCAGGGTATAGCATCGGGGCCAAGCAAAAGACCTTGCCTGTCATATTTGCTAACTACATATATAGGGCCCTCTGTCAAGCGACCAGACAAGGCAATGTATGTGTCGAGGACACGAGAAGGACATCAGCATTGAAGTGCAGGGCCCCGTCGCAGCCTACAGCACACTAGAGAAGGTGCTGCAACTTGATCAGAAGCTGTCAAACCTACATAGTGCCATGATGGAGTGCAGCACATGTTCTTCAGATCCAACGCGCACTACTACTCTTCTTCGCGAACTGGAAATCCTTTGTACCCTTTATGTTGCAGGGCAAGCAAAGTTTTCGCCATCGGGCGTTCCTATTGACAAAGATAGCAATGATAGCCGCGTTGAGCTTGGCGACAGCACGTTCCAGTTAGGCCGATATGTGTTGGACAGCGAGGAGTGCAGAGTTGTGGGTCGCATTGTCGTAAAGCAGGGGCTGGATCATCTTCAAAAGAAGTTGCAGATCGTGCAGGCGGAGCAGAGGCGGAACAATTGTGCCACAATGCAGAACGAGATCAGTGCGAAAGTTCAGGGGATACTTTCGAAAGTCTGGGAGGCTTCAGCATATGGATGTCTGTAGACACGGGGAATTCACGAGGGCGCGCCCAGCGTCAAGGCTCTGGTAGCTAAGGTACTCGATCAGAAATGAAGCACTGTTGATCGAATTATAGCGAAGATGCATAACCCATGCGAAGATCATTCTCGGGACTTAGCATCGGGGAGATGCGGGTTATATCACAAGTTTACCACCATCCCATCTGACCAGGGATGCACTTAAGCCGCCGAGTCCCACGTGAGCAACACATAGCATACAATTTAGAGAGCAAGCAAAAATGATATCGACGGTAGCTACCTACGAACTATGCGTACCCGCACTTCGAAAAGCGATGCAAAACCATCTGGAGGTTTTGAAGAAGGCTGAGGTGTGGTGCGACAAGAACGGGTATCCGCACTCGAAAGCCTTGGGAGCTAGACTCGCTCCAGATATGCATGTACGTATCGCATCGACTTGTCACTTAGAGAACAGAACATGAAGTTAACTATGCTTCGACTACAGCCTCTCGCGCTTCAAATCTTTTTCCAGGTTACTACCGCTACAAGGGCACTCCAGCGCCTTGCGGGCATGGAAGTACCCACGTTCAAGTTCGACGCAGCCTCTTTCCAGGATTTGTACATGCAAATTGATCAGGCCTTGGAATGTTTCGAGAAGGCGCGCCCAGAGGCGTTTGAGGGGAAGGAGGATATGCCCGTGGTTATCGATGTACCCAACATGTGGCATTTCGATCTAAACGGCTTGACATATCTGCAGGAGTTTGTTCTACCGAATTTGTAAGGGTCCCCATGAATGTCTCAACATCTAGCCGGTATACTGAGACAACCCTCGTTTTGACAGCTTCTTTCACAATGTGACGGCTTATGGCATCTTGCGGAACCTTGGGGTACCGATTGGGAAGATGCATTATCTTTCGGGTGAAGATCGACTCATTGGGGCTTGATGGCACACTATCAAGACCAGAAGGATATTGTGAAAGGGGTTCTAGAACGAGAAAAGATTAAACATGAGCTATGCACAGTAAACGCTGTCAAGAGGCGTGCAAAGGAATAGACGAATTCTTCTAGAATGGTTTGTATGAAGATGAATGATGCGACTGACCTATGGCATGTGTCGGAGATCGGAGTTTCATTCGCCGTGACCGGGTTCCGCGGGGAAGCTTGACGTAGCGCGTGTCCCACGTGGAGCGTTCAGGCCCACTAACAGTTGACCACCAACTGTCAGGCACCCCGTCTCAAAGTGCAAACCATCTGACGCCTCTAGATACCGCAAACCCAGCACCAATTGCTTGCGTACTCGCACACAATGGACAATCTACTCACGCAGAAGACGCCTACCGCGCTGGCAATCGCGCAGGCTGTAGGCATAACGGGGAGCGTGTTCCTACTAGGTAAGTTACGCCAGGGAGGAAGGCGCATACCCATACTTGAAAAGCTCTCCTATACATTATACAGCATGGCATGACTGACAAGCTTACCAGGATCCAATGTATGCCTTTCGGTAGTCGGCATCCCCGCCGCAATGCAAGCCCCCGCTCCCCTCGCAGTAAAGCAATGGCACACAATCTTCACACGAGGCGGCGCAATCGCGAGGCCATTAGCCATTGTCTCAGCTCTAGCAACCGGATACGTGGCCTATAACCGTACGTCACACCGTCTACCCGCTCGCCGACCATTTCACGTGCTAACACCCCCAACAGAAGACCCCAAATCCACACCTTTTCGCCTAAACGCTCTCGCGACCATTCTTCTCCCCAGCATCGTCCCCTTCACGCTCCTAGCCATGGCACCCACCAACGACAAACTTCTAGGCAAGAAGGACGAACTCGCGACCGCATCGTTGAGCAACAAGAACGTCGAAGCATTTGCCGCCGAAGGTGAGACAGTGCACGAGCTGATGGACAAGTGGGCGAGTCTGAACATGGCGAGGGCAGTGCTGGTGGCTGTGGGAGCAGTGTGTACCGTTGCGTCAGCGGTCGTGGGAAGGAGGGAGCTTGTAAAGTTTGGTGGCCGGTGGTAAGGCATGGATGAGACAAGATAGGATGTTGCTATGATTGATGGGTTAAATGTAAGATGGGAGATGTGATGAGGCACGACTATCAGAATACATCTACACCAAAAGCCTCCTTGGCCGCACCAAAAACATGCTTTCAATTTACCAACCTCTAGGAAACCAGAAGCGGGAGCAGCCGAAGATTTTGATAAGGTGACGCCCTAGGCAGGGGTGCTGTGATGCGACAGAAGTGGTTGGTTAGTAATCCAAGTGAGGGCTCATTTATCCGGTCATATATCTTAGGGTAAGCTGGTCTGACAGGGCGTATGGATCAAGCATCTCGCTAAGCGGTTAAGCATGTTGGTGAACTAGCTTGTTTACGCCTTCTCTCGTCAGCTCGTGTCTGAATGGCACATGGGCACCGCTCGTCGAGCAATATGCGCTTCGAGAAATGGGCGAAGATCGCCTGAAGACTGGATTATCCGGCTAAATGATGTCTTCGTCCACGCTATGGCATGTCTATCCTGCACAACCTTATTCACCGTATAACGAAAAGGAGGTATCCAGGAGGATTACATGACTACAGCACCCGAGTATCCACAAGTATGGAGTTAGGGTCGGCACCCGAGGCCATTTGAAATGCGATAGTTGTGAGAATGCAATGTGCCCGGCGAAGAGCATGCAGCAGCAAGCTTACCTAGGTAGGCTGGAAGCATGATCTGCATGTACTGTACAACAGTCATAGACATGGAAAAACACGAGTACGAAGCAACAGGGCGATGCTATCGGCCGATGCCTGCTGCGAACAAGCGATGTTGTTGGTCCGGTCTCAGATATTCCGGTTATGGTCCTTCTGGTCTTTCTGGTCATGGGACTATGGTCTCAATGATCCTTCAGTGAGATTCAGCGGTCGGTCACCGACTGGCCCAACAAGATCAGTGCTGTGAACCCATACGGGGGTATGTGATTCCAGAGGATCATATATCAGGCGACAGTTGACGCGGTGGGTCTTGCAGACTACCTTCTCGCTCCTCAAGAACCTTCATCTTCATACCATATATACACTTGAATTCGCTTTCGAGACTTTCAATCTTGTACGATCACATCGTACCTTGAGAAGTAGTCGACAATCAGACGCGACACAAACAGCATGAAGTTCACCGCTGCTGGAGCCCTTATGCTCTTTGTTCGTTCAATCATGGGCAAAGGCTGCCCAGACGGCCAAATTGGTGTTGGCACTGTACAGACCTGTTTGATCGTCAAGTTCGTCCTTACCTATACATCCGAATCGCCAGGGCGCCTGGAAGAGACTACGAGCTGACTTGTATCTCTAGCAACATGCAGACTCAGTGCTCCGCGACGCAGGGCGTTGTCTTTGGAGAAGGCAATTGTGACCAAGCTGATATCGAGAACATGTTCCAGAAGGACGGATATTGTCAGCCTAGAACTTTCCTTCATGGCGCCAAGGTTTTCTGCGAAGACGATGACACGACCGTCACGTCTGTTGCATACAATCTAGCGACTTGGGGGAATTGCAAAAAACAATATGTTGATTGTTCTGCTGGAGCGCTTCAGTACTTGTATATTAATTACTGTTGCGAGAAGCTTTAGAGCTGGATACGTCACTCAAGTGTTGCCGCGGTCAAGTTACGGGAATCATGTATGCTAGCAACGCAGCATCTGCCTAAACAAGAAATTTGTACGAAGCTGATGTTTGTTGTGGGTATCGTCTGCTTGTTCATTCCCTTGGCACCATTTGTATAATGAATTCCTGTTCCCTTCATACAAGATAAGCCTCCTTTGCCACACCTAAAACTTACTTTCAATCAACCAACCCTGGTCAGAGTGATATCGTCGAACCACACATATCCCGTCTGCGGAACCACCGAGCAACTGACTACAATTCTCACAAATTGATTATTACCCGCTGCCAGCGCAGCCGTCCCGCTAAACTTCGTCCACTCCTGCACCTCAACTTGTCCATAATTCTGCTCGATAAGGCCCGTCAACTGGACAAAGCATGGAGCTCCGACTGTACCATCGATTTTGACGCTGAATGATGCTGTGTAGGTGCCTGCTTCGCTGACTTGGGGTACTTGACGAACGCTGGTGAAGAGACCAGCTCGTCGCGGTACGCGCATACTCTTACTGCCATATTGTGGATCGGTGGAGGCGACGATGGAGGCGTCGCCAGGGAAGAGAATCCACGGGCTACTTGTAGGATCTTCGAACCCTGGGTTTATAATGAGCTGCGTGGGTTCTGGTGGGCTTGGGCTTGGACTTGGACTTGGAGTGGAGGACATCGACGATGACAGGTCGAGTGTTGTTGTTGTTGTTGTTGTCGAGGCGATATCGCTTGTTATGGAAGAAGCTTCAGTCGAAGTTTCTGTTATGGTTAGAGAGGTCGGAGAGGAGACGAGTTCTGTTGAAGACACAGACGCTCTGGCCGTCATCTCGCTGGATGCAGAGGAGGATGTGTCTGAAGAGACAACAGTCGAAGAAGAAGATGAGCTCACAGCCTCTAGTGTAACAGTTGGATCTGAAGAAACTGGAGTGAGACTGCTTGAAATCTCTGCCGAGCTGTAAGATATGGACGATATATCTGTCGAGGATGAAGATGATGTCGGAAGCACAGAAGAAGTGACAATGACCAACGACGCACTGTTTTGGGTGGAAGAAGGCGCGGAACTCGAGGAAGATACAGCTTTGCAATCGCCGAACCCTTTCTGGCAAGTCTCAGGTGCACAATAAGCGTCCGTACTTCCACAGTACGAGTACTGACTGCAGCAATTACCCCACTTGCTTCCTTTGCAAGTCTGTCCGCCGAAAGAAGCTCCACATCTGGCATTAGTGGAGACTCGCTGCGAAGTGGCAGAGGCGCTGATTATCGGTTGGGTGGTTGTTGTAGATGGAACTACCAAGATACTCGAAGGACTGGCCGGTGAAGGCTTGCAAGAGCCGAACTTAGTCTGGCAACCCGATCCGCAGTACGCATTGCTATTACCACAATACCCGTACTGAGAGCAGCAGTTCCCAAACACACTACCCAAACAGGTCTGGCTCGAGCCGACTCCACATTTGCCGTTGGTCGAGGTTTTCAGTTCCGAAGGTGTGGCCGAGGGAGACGATGTAGGGGGTTGTTTCGATGGGGAAGAGGAAGTTGAGCAAGAGCCGAAGCCTGACTGGCATCCCTTGGAGATATAGCAGTGGTCCTCCGTTCTTCCACTATGGAGTCTTAGTGAGGTATACCAGAAGAATAGGAAAGTGCAGAATGAAACGTACCACCACCCATACTGTGAGCAGCATGGTCCAACACTGGTAGATTTTCCAGGGCAAACAAGTCCTCCAAACCCTTTACCACACCGCCCGTTCTGAGAGATCGTGGCTGCGAAAACTTCATGGCCCAAAAGGAGAGCTGTGCCTGTAGAGAGTATGCTGATTCGCATGATGAAGGCTTAATGAGTGAATGAATGAACGTAGTGGATATGATCGCTGGAAGACAGTTCAAAGGAGTGTATGAAGCAATAAAGCCAGACCTTGCCTACACGACCTGCTCGGTTATTTCGACTTCATTATATACATAGCCATGAATATCTGCCCAGGTCATCGCTAACCTGCTATAGCTAAGATGAAATGATCCAGAGCAAGCCACCAATATCGCTGACATTGCCCACAACTCGTGGAGCGCCACATGCAGTGGATTTGCGTGACAGCGACGCTTCGCTTGTAGTGTTATGCCGAATTGAGTCGTGGTTTTGGTGCTAAGCTTGCGCCACGGGTGTAGCCGCACGCTAGCGCGGTCGAAGAGCCCCTGATATCGCTACAAGTGGTTGAAGCGTCGGCTATTCCGTGACGAAGAACCGGGAACATGGATCGCGAAGGAGAGATCTAGACGCTGCACGGAGCACGGTCGTGAAAAAGCGGTTTGATCTGTTCCTGGGTCTTGGTTCAATCTACCGCTGAGGAGATACAAGGTTGAAGTTGTGATGTATCTTCAAGACAGGCACAACAACGAAAGAAAATATGCGGTATGCATAGGAGTAGTAGCTATGTGTACGCACTTTTTCTAGAGCTACTCTTTCCGATCATCCAATATGCGGAAAGTACTGTGACCACCCAGGAACTTCGAAAGCCGAGTCGAGAAGATGGCAGGAAACATTCTACGACGATGAAGATTCTTGCGAAAATGTAGAGTGGCATGGATAAATAAAAGCACGCCGCGGAGACCAAAAGGGAAGTTTTCTTCGCCAATATCCACATTGTAATATGCCACGTTGGGGGAAATTGCTGTAGTCATCGAAAACTTCAGCTAGGTACCAAATCACGGCAGGTATGCCCGAAACCAGGATCGTAATGCTACTCAACTTCCAAAGCAGTTCGTCGATTTCGCCACGAAAAGGTCGATTCCATACAACGAGATGCACACCGCCGTAGAAAAGACCCGCTAGGAAGAATCCTACCACTAGATCAAAGCCTTTATAGGCGACGTTTCTGATCATAAACATGTTTTCAGAATGATTGTTCGAACGTATACTAAAGGAGGAATACCCTTCCTCTACTTGAGACCCGTACTTTCTAAAAGCTTGCGAGGCCAGCTTGAAGCGGTCAAAGTCTAACTCGGTTAATTGTTCATACCACACTCCATCAGCCGCGAGCGATGTGTTCTTGTGGAAAATAAAGCCATGGTATGCAAAATAGTGTTTCGACTGAAAATGCGGATCCTTCGATGGCCTCAGCAAGAGGTGCTGAAGTTTGGGTTGAGGGACCGCAGTTCCAGAGTCGACCGAAGAGTCAAGGATTTTGTTATCCTCCGTGTTTTGGAGATCGACCAGCGAAAGTCTGACACGCGAGTACAGTTGCCGAGCAACCATGAAGGCGGCAAGATAATGCAAATCTACATGTGTGCAGATGGTCGACGCCTCAACATCCAGTGGCTTATGCCACCAAAAGAAGAAATACAGAGCCAGGGCACAGGCGGCATGGATTGCAGTATTGATCTCCAGAAGAGAGATCGAAAGACCCTGAGCCGATCGAGTTACACATTGGATGCCGAACCACAGCGCCTGGGCAATGGTTATCATCTTCGTGAACATGTTTGCTTTTCCTTTGTCCTTTATTGCAGAATCAGACAAATCCGGACGAAGATCAGGATTGTGGTTGGCGATGAACCTAAGACCATCTAGTGTCAACGTCATCCTTTGCCGCCCTTGGGGAAGATAGTGGCAGCCTAGATCGTGAGTATCGATGACAAACCCGCCCATCCTGGCATAGAGAGAATGCGCGTGCGTCCATGAATATCTTCCCATCTTCGGGCCAAGTTCCACATCCGTGTGTTGTGACATCTGTTCCGTTCGTTTGGGGGATCCTGTCGTCAATCCAAGCTTACTCAACGGATTGAAAACGGATGAGAAGATATCTTTGGATGATTTTGACAGCTTCTTCGAGACTTCGGGACTCCGACTGGTTGGAAGCCTTTCGCATCATGCGTCCTATTCTTGTTGCGTCAACGTGCTGGTGAAAAGCGGTCCAGACGACCTTACTTCAGTCGGCACTCGTTCAGAAGGCCATAGAGTGGTGCGAGTTACCCATTCTGGAGCAAACAGTGCTATCAACATCCAGCCTAACTTCCGCCACATTTGCGCAATAGCTTTGTTGTGCTCGGGAATGTTCAAATGAACAGCTGTCCAGACACATAGGATCATCGTTAAGAGCGAGGACGAAAGTATGGAAAACGTACCGCGAGACAACGGCTCGGGCTTCCAGGAGTGGTATTGTGGGTCATCGGGTATGGTCACATTCGCCATGTCATTGACTGTTTGAGTTGTAATAAAGCACAGTCATGAAAGGAGAGAGGGCCCCGCATCTTTCTTGGATCGTGCTATAAGTCAATTGCCCTTCAGCTGCGGCTGAGAGTTTGTGATTTAGAGCCATGCATCACCTCGATAGCGCTCTAGACCGCCCGAAATTCTGGGTCTTGGGACACGCGGTTGCTGCATGCTTCTTGTTTCAGATTAAGATGCTGGACATGCAACGATTGTGCAAAAATGTTTCTTTCTTTCAAAATGCGATGCGATAGCTCACGCCTCAAAGTCCATAAACGAATGTAAGTCTATCATCACCTTCCCTACCGCGTACAGCCTGCTCAAGCCAGTCACCAATCGAGGCAAGCTTCGAGTGCGACCGGGTCACGTCGATGGCTCTCCTCAGCCACTGCTGTTGCTGCGGTAGCGGCCCTCTACCATGGACTCTCTCTGCCTCAACGTCATCTTCACTCCACTTACGCAAAACGCCCTGTCTTGTCTCGTTCTCGACTTTCAAACGTCTGTAGAAAAACACATATCCGAAAGCTGCTAATGCAACGGACGCAAGTGTCCACCAAAAAGGCACAATATAGCCACCCGCGGCATATTTTGGTCGGAACAGAATGGCGGAGATTACTCCAGCAAGATTGCCCCAGCCATTGATACCGAGGAGCAATGCGCGCTTGCCGGGTGATGGTGTGTTACCAGATATCCAGGCTACAGTGAGTGGGGAAGCAATGTAGGTGCCAGAGAGGAGGATGTTAAGGGCGACGTAGCGGGGTACTGCCCACGAGCTTGGGAGCAAAACCACGAGAACCAAACCCGCTACCATGATGAGCAGACCCAACATGATCGGCTTGAGGCGTATGCGATGCTTGTCACTATAGCTAGCGGCGAAGTATAGTACGATGGCTCCACAGATATGTGGCGGCGCAGTGAGCAAGTTGATGAGCGCAGGGTTCGCATCCTCGGTCAGAGGTGCTAGTACGAGCGGGAGGAAGACGGAGAAGGCATAGACCGGGATGGCGGACAGGACATTGCAGGCTAGAATGTGCCAAATCTTGGTGTTGAAGACTGCGGATAGTATATCGTGGGGACTGAGTCCACGGTCATCCACCAGTTGTCGTGTTGGTGTGATTGTGGAAGTTGAATGCTTGGACGAGTCAAGAAGGCCTCGGGACTCCTCGTCGTAGGTATCTTCCGTTTCGTGCTCGTCTTCTTGAGCGGCCGCAGGCGCATTCTGTATGTCTCGATCTCTCACAACACGCGCCGATGCATACTGACGTTCCTCGGGTGTCAGAAACCATGCCGTTTCTATGCTGTGTGGTAGCCAGAAGTATCCGATGAATGCCACGACGATAGTGAGTATGCCCTCGAGTAAAAACAGCACCTGCCACGGTCGCCAATCTTTGTCCGAGCCTCCCTCATCATTCCCGAAGTGGGAGAAGACAAGGTAGCTTATAAGGCCACCGAGAGCACCGCCGACAGCTGCCTGACCGTAGAAGAATGAGAGCCGTCTGCCGAACTCAAATCGTGTGTAGAAGAGGGAGAGATATGTGACGGTGACTGGGTAGAATCCCGCTAGCCATCATGTCAGCGCTGCACCGATAATGTTCCGAGGATCCCATCCATACCTTCAAGACAACCGATGAGTATGCGCAACGTATAAAGCTGCCATCTATGCCGTACCCACGCATGCAACGCTGTGCATACTCCCCAAAGAATCATGCAACTAGGTACCCAGAGCACCATGCCATATCTTCTTCCCAGCGCCGCGCCGACGGGTTGTAATGTAACGAAGAAGGCGAAGAAGAGCGCAACAGCGGTATTCAGCGCACCTTTATCTAGTCCGACATCCGCCGTAAAGTGCGCAGATTCTGCATTTCCAATCTGGACCGGGTTAGCATAAACGTTTCTTCTTGGGTCGCGGGTACCTACATTCGACTTATCGAGCGCATTAAACAAGAACAGCAGCGCCAGAAACGGAAGCAACAAGCAGTCCAACTTTCTCAGCGTGCTCTTGTGCAATCGCGCATCCACGGCATGTAATTCCTCAGCTTCTTCCGGCGACATCGTTGTGTTTACTGAAGCTGAGGAACCAGGAGCTGCAGCGAGCTCGTACTCATCGGCCATATTGTCGGGCGCCAAGAATCAGCCCACGCGGACGCATCACAGGGTCTGCGACTTCGGATGACCTCGGTCGAGGGTGTCGGATTTGGATGGAATGACTAGAATGTTCAGGGTGAGACATGGCGAGGTTTCTGGAGGTGTAAGACGGGATATGGCCTAGGTTAATAGCGGGTTTGAATAGGGACTTGGACCCTGATCAATTGATGGGATGACGAGGGCTTGGAGATCGACGCCCAGTTGGGAAATGGCCGAGGATGCTGCGTGTTATCGATAAGACATCTACCAACCAACTGACAACCAAAGACCTTTGAAGACTCTTAGATTATGTGAAGGTACTAAGAATGACACACTGACATCATCCGTGCGTAGTCCAGCTCCAGTATCTCGTATGTTGTTCATTGATAGCTCATCTCGAAACGTTCAGACTCGTAGCAATCATCCTGCCTCCGCTGTCTCTAAATCCCTCCTCCCAAACGCCTTAACAGCCTCATAGTACAGCGTAGCAGTAGCTTCACACGCACCCTTGGCTGACTCATTCGCACACTGATTGAACATGTCCGTTTTGAAATTATCGTCGATTCGCGCCTTGTTTGCTTCGAAGCGGTCTTGCGCCTTGAAGTTACGGTAGCCAAAGTCGTGGCGGTAGCAGGAGTTTATGACTATAAGCATGTATATTAGTATGAGAAGAAGAGATGGAGCATTCATTGGATGAAAGATGGAAAACAGTGGATGGAATAATGAGAGGGATAGAGGTAGGAGATGTGAGAACATACAGTCAAATCCAAACGGATTATCTGGACTCGCAGTACACCCGTTACTGGACCAATCTAACTCAGGAGGGTTCTTTGCATTACGGTTTGTGATGAACTCGTCGATGGAGATGTCGAACACATAGCTGTCTGTGACCTGCTCGAGAGACGCCTGGCGCGAAACAAGTGCTGCAGGAGCAGATACGGCAAGCGACGCAAGGCCGAGGACAGTGGCGAGAATGGGGCACCTCATATTGGAAGGATTGGCAAAAGCAATGGAATCGAAATAGCTGGATGTTTACTACAGCTGAGCCGTGATGGCTTTATACCTACCTCGGATTCCACGATGTCTTGTTATGCCGACATACACGCCGCGCGGTCAGGTCTTTCCCGCTCTTGGAAACCTGCCATGTCAAGGGTTCCTGCATCTGTACCCTACTGCATAACATTTGCATATGTGGTTGCACATTGTATGGCACACCTCGTTGGATCAGGTCCCTATTCGCTGAATGCGTTGTAGGGTCGAGAGAAACAAGATGGGGGGATGGCGGAAACGTGCATGCGTATGCCAGATCAGTCGGCTGTACGGTCTTATGTCGGACTGGCCAAGAGATTGGTAGCAGGTGATCCGAGGTAATCGTTTGATTCGCTCTTTCAGAGCCTCAATTACTGCGCATCATGTCGATCGACAGTGTTTGTTGGCTAGTGTAAGGAAGAAGTAAAAATGCCAAAGCCGAGAGCGGGATTTGAGATGAGAGTTAAAAAAAGGGCCGCCATAGCTGGAGATGGGTGTTCTGTGGACTCGAATGCATGATTAGCCTTATCTCGCCACAGTTGGACACAAACCGAACACCAACTCAAAAGATCGTATAGACACATGGGGTAGTTTTGGAGGTGGCGTACACGTAGGTATCTTCGCATGTGAGAAGCTTAGCTGCCTACCCCACGTGTTATAAATATAGTAAAAGTAAGGGAAACTTCTTCTGCAAGGCCGCGTACAGATTGGTCATCGGATGTATCGACTGTCATGTTTTTGTGGCTGTGCATCACTCCTGGAGGGAACCCCACAACTAATCGCAATCATTTTTCTGCGAGTAAAACGTACAGAGAAAGAACATCTCGGGGAGGGAGAGCCGAGAAGACTGGTGACGAAGGGAAATCTGATCATCCATATGAACCGTCTCGGTAAGCCCCACTTTCGTCAAACAATGTATGACTGTTGCCGTAGGTGTACCCTGTGTACCGTAGCTGGTCCAATGGGTCAGTCCGCCGAATTCGTGTCCTAGAAGAGTGTAGAAAAGTCGCTAAGAACAAGGAAAGTGTTACTGCAGTCAGCGCTTCACAAAAGAACCACCATCCCTTCGTGCAATGCCATTCAATTGTCTATGAGCATATTCCCACTACTTGTACAGTGCCATGCGCTCTTTCTTGTTGTTCCAGTTCCCTCGCTTACAACTTGCTGATGAAGAGACGAGCGGCGAACAGGCGCACACGCTGGGGAAGGATGTACTTGGAGAAGACGTAGATGAGCGATGGCAGGAGGATGAAGGCCACGGTGGTCTCGTTGACGAAGAAGAAGGGGATGAGCTGGGGCATGGCCGACTTGAGGACGGTCTATCGCTTGTGTTAGCTTCCTTGTCTGGCCGTCTTTCCCATGTCCAATCCATCTCACCATCTGCTGTGGGCCAACCTCGGTCTTCTTGTTCTGGCTCGCGAGGAGAGCGGGACGCGCCATGGCGGCAACGGATGGGCGGGCAGCCATGGGCGCGCGGGCAGCGGCAGCCCTGGAGAAGGGGCGGAGGAAGCGTGCGGCGTTCATGTTGGGCTACCTGTAGTTTTGCGGGTCAGCGCGCTGCTGTGGGGGTCCAATTGGCCGCGAGAGAGCTTTCGCAGGGGAAATTGACGCACTGAACGAGGGATCCGAAGCCTGGGGAGATGAGCGGAGATGGTGTTGCGGTCGCGGGGGATTTGGTGGTGTTGCTATCGTCGTCCGCAAAAGCTCGCACAGCTGCGATCCCGGCACTTGCCGCGTCCGTGCACAGGGCTTGGCGCTACTTTCCATCGTCCCGCCAGCTCTCCGCATCTTCCCCACGACTACCTTCCATCAACTGTGAATAATTACGCCTCTTATCATACTCTAAGCTCGCCTGCCCCGGCTATGCAAACGCCCTTTTCCGTCTACAGGAACGGGCTATAGTGCGCCAGATCAACCTTAGGAATTTGCATAAAGACTGACATCGGATCGGCACGTTGGTCGACATATGATCATTGGTGCAGAGGTAATTTGTGACATTTGTCTGCATCTGCATCTCAGTGCTGTATAGCTTCGTTGTCAATCAGCCCTAACATGGTAAAGGAGCTAGTGTTGGCTCTTCCTTTCAACCGCGTCAAGTGCGGGGTGGGCAGTATATGTAAGGACGCACGCAGCATGCTGGACATATGAAGCAATCGTCGCAAATCGGCCTGTGACAGTTTATATCATACAATATGGCAATAGAAAAAGTCATGATACTAGGGGTAAAGAGAAGCGACGAGACTACCAACCGCCACCACTTCGCTGACAAGACGAGTAGAATTGGGAACTATGCCTTTCCATCATCAACGCCATCTTCCCACAACACAGCAAGCCTGGTACTACAGAACATCAAGTTACTGTACTCACATATCCTTCACAAACTCTCAGTCTACCCCCTCATGTCTCTCCTTCCGACGTTCAGCATCAGAAGTCAGATTACACGTCGACTTCACTACAATCAGCCATGGCGGGACAAGATCTTGTCATAAGCACTATGTCAGGCGGTGATTCAGATCAACAGATTTGCATTATCGATGCCGCCGTCGCGGCGGGTGTCAAACGTCTCATTCCTGATGAGTTCAGTCACGACAGCATGAACGAGCACATACAAGGGCGCATCCCAAAATATGCGGGACGAGCGAAAGTCATTGCCCATCTCCAAAAAATATCCAAAGACCATCCAGACTTCAAGTGGACTGCAATCGCGACAGGATACACGCTCGACACCCAGCTTATCAGCGGCAACATGGGTTTCGATATGGAATGGCACAGTGCGACTATCCACGGTACTGGCATTGAACCATTCCCAGCCTCCAGTCTAGAAAGAGTAGGACAAATCGTCGTTCGCATCATACAACATTGGGACGAGATCAAGAACCAGTATATATACGCTGCTGGTATGATAACATCTGCCAACGAGGTTCTGAGATCTGTTGAGAAAGCGACGGGTCACGAGTTCACTGTAGGAAACTACGACGTCGAAGAGTGTATTGCCGAAGGTCAGAAAAGGATTGAGAAGGGGTACCCCGATTCTGGAATGTTTCTGCTTGAACGAAGTGTGCTGTACGACAAGACACTGGAAGCCTCGAAGCCTTTCAAAGACCGGAGCGCAAACAGTATAATGGGACTTACTCCAGAGTCAGTTGAGATTGTCGTAAGCACGGCTTACCGCGACTTCAAACACCATGGCAAACCCGGATGCGGTTGTTCATCGTAACACTTACAACCCAAAGTCTCGCGCCCAGCCTTCTCACTTAAATTGCATCGCATATCATCTACCCCAGCACCCACCTCCTTCCCAAATTGTAGTACCTTCCCAAAGCGTGTCCTCTCTTCTCGCATGATCTCTCCTTCCCCACATACCCCCCTTGCCCCCTTTTCTTCCTTGAACAGAAGTCAGGCAGTCCTTCATACAGCACCCTCACCGATCAAAGCTATGTTGTGCATATGCTGGTTACGCCATGTCGTAGATCCCGTTCGGAACGCCTGGACCCTGTGGATCACTGGCCTCAGAATACGGGTATGAGATCCAGGAATGCGAAGTAAGCGCGTCAGCCAGACTTCCGGGAGGAGCGGAGCGCATGAGTAATTTACTGTGTGATGGGAAGGTTTGCGGGATCATGTAAGGAACGGCGTGACTCGTGATGAGGGACGCCGAGACGCGGGGCTCAAGGGAAGACTAGGATAGTGAGAGTTGGGGGGAGGTGCTCTGACAGACCCCATGACACCAGCAAGAAGGAGTGCAAGCCGACGACCGAAGTCAAAAATGTTGTCACAGTGATCCACGACCAGAAATATCACATGTTTCTCCACCTTTGCGGTGAACAGTCTCAGCTTCAGCCTCGGTTCTCTTCCCACCAGATCCACCCCACCTACCCATCCAACGACCAACTACGGCCATCAGTCCGAAAGGCCTCATCCATGTTACACAGCCTCACACCCTACGTGTTCCATGGACGACCCTCAAAAGTCACAGCCTCAGTTTCGGGTTGCTGCAAAACCTGAGACTAGACGGCAAGAATGCTGAAACACGGTATGTGCGGAAGTTGGAGTGATTTTCGTCCGGCAGTTGTGATGGGCGGAACGGAGCGGATGTGTTGTTGGGAATACGTTGTACTTTTCGTGACTGTGGTTGAGATGTTATGGGTGGTTGGGGATGAAGTGGCAGTGCGTATGTCTCGGTGTGGCGCGGTGCTGGGACGGTTGTGTGAGAGGATTGTGGATCTATCTTTTTGCTTTTACCCGTTGCAGATCAATTTAGTATCCGTCTTTTGATTTTCCTGCTGCTTTTCCCGCTGCTCTTCCCGCTCGAGCCTAATGGTTCTTTTCGGTTTCCAAAAAGAGCGTGTTCAGCAGTTTCGAGTATTCCGCAGTAAAGTAGAAGAGGTTCAACAGTTTCGTGAATGGATACGCTCCAATGTTTTGTTGAATTGTTTGCAAATCTGCAGAAGCAAGTCTATAACTACCAAGATCTACCTACGTGGTAAAGGGGGATATCGCTAGTGTGTGAGTGGGAGAAAGATAGAAAGCGATGCTACTGAAAATGCTGGATGTCGTTCCTTCGTGATATGCCCAATGCAATCGATAGAACTCGCGTGAAACGGAAAGGACGCTGTAGAAATGAACGCTATAGACAAGAACGCTGGAAAGGGGTGGGAAAGACACGAGATTAAAGTGCAAAAACGATCAAAAACGAGAACCCATACGACACTTTTTGTACGGTGACCTTTTCATGCTACTCCGCCGTTGCAGTGACCCATCACCGGTAACGCCTACTAAACTCAGCCCACGATTGTTGCTTGTGGAAGAATGTCTGGGAGTCGTCTACCAGACTCAAATCATGCTCGCGATCGAGTTGAGTGCCGTGGTCGTTGTTCTTATACCAACGAGCTCAGGTTCGCTGACTTGATGCGAGAGGTTTGGTGAATACTGATGACCGGAGAAGCTCGACAAGCTTTGTAGCGGCGTTGTAAACATGCCGACCACAGGTTCGTGTCTGTTGGAAGGCTCACCGTATGTCTCACCAAACGATGTCGCTGTAGGGGTTCGGAGCGAATGCATCGTGGGTGTTGCGGAGGTTGGTGTAGGGTATGCTGTACTGCTAGGATTGCATGAGGCGTTGACTTGCGGTGTCGATGTTGGTGTCGAGGTTGGCATGGAAGACGGCATGCTTGACATGCCGTAAGATTGGAGAGACGAGCTGCCGGGTATCGGTGTTGGCGTGGAGTGACGGTGAGATGCTGAGTCTGCTTGCGGGAGGTCTTGCTTGACCGGATACGACGAGGACGTAGCTGAAGCGGATGATGCCGCGCGGACGCGTCCGGCTTGTGTCTCACGGCGGCGTTTGGGCCCATCTTTGACTTTGGGGTGTGTGTGACACTGCGTCGTTGTTAGCACCACGGAATGCCATGTACGGAATACCATCTTACCTTGTATGCATGCCGGAACCACGTCGTTCCTTTCTTCTTGTTGCTGACGAGCGCTATCCATTCACCGCAGCTTCCACAAAGCCCTTCCCATACGTCAAGGTTGCCTTCCGTCCGGCGTGTGTCTTGGGGACCCTGGAATGCCGCACCGGTGGCTGCGCTGACACCATGTGTGAAAGACTTGTCGTACCAAAAAGCGCTATTCTTGAGGACAAGCCATCTGCCGGGCTTACATAGACCGCACCAACCTTCTCGTTTGTTGCCATGGCCACGTACCCATCGTGGAGTGTACAAGTCGCCAACAAAGCGAAGATCCTGCTCATGTGGGATGAGGTCTGGGTCCGAAGGGTTCATATCGGATTCTGGTGGGTTCAACGCTTCCTCGTGCAGGGACGCGTACAGATCCGGCGGGTCTGAGAGATCTGCAAAGTGAGATGAACAGCCTCCATGACGATCGGCATTACTTTGGAGCAGACGGAAGAGGCCCTGAGAAGGTAGAGGCCTAGGTACTTCGAGATGGAACTGCTGTTGATCTTGAGGCGTGAAGAACGGCTGACTGTTAGGATGCGATGGAGGAGTTTGCGAGTACAGCACATTCTGAGTCGGCAATCCAAAGTTGTTGTAGGCACTGGGAGGGTAGGCGGGCATGGAATGATGCGGGTTCATCCGGGGGCCGTACGGGGCGAAGCGATCCGACACTTGTGACATTGGGCGCGAGTTGTTCGGAGTCGATGTTGGCGCTTGTCCAGTAGACCATCTCTTGAATCTGTTACTGTCAAGTGTGTACGGCGATGAGCGAATGTTGCCATGCGATGCTGGCGATGTGCGGGATCGGCTCCCGCTGCGAACAACCCCGTCATACTGCGGGCGCCGTGGTGACGCAAGAGGTGATAGAAGATGACTGGCGCTTTGCTCCGCTTGGTTCCACGTATCATACTCAGACGCATATGAAACTGGTTCGGACGAACCCATCTCTTCGTAAGCTGCCGATTCTGGCAGCACACCGCCTGTACTCGACATCGAGAAAGAAGATTCAGACATTCTTCGAGTGGAGTTTGGGTTGAACTGTGCCATATTGTCGTGTTCGTGTTGGCCCATGCTGTTGTACTGACGTAGGTCGATTATCGGAGTGTTCTCGTCGTGTCCCATCATACCATGGCTGAAGTCGCCCACGTCCGAATCCAGAGCGGGAAAAGACTCTAGCTCTTCACATACTTTCTGACCCCATGGACCTATACTCATTAGCACTGCATACATGCTTGCTTCTGAAGACGCTTACTTGTGTCGATGACGTTGGGAAAGTAGTTCGTAGTTGCCAGTGATTGCGGGGCATTCATAGAACTGCTGTAGATGCCACCAGTCGTAGCAGTCGGCTGCGACGTCATCATGTCTGGTCTTCCCATAAATTGCTGCTGGTCTTCTCTCCCGCCTACAGTAGGTCCGCGCGGCGCAGCATAGTACGAAGAATGGGTCTGCGGCACAGCCCACGTGGGCTGTGGTGGCGACGGTCTGGACATAGGTTGCATGCCTTGTTGTTGTTGATGTTGATTTTGTTGCTGACCATGTTGAAGGTCTCCGTATGCATACATGGTTTGCATTCCCGGAGCAGATGAGGAATGTCCCATAGTGTACTGTCGATTAGGTGACGGGCGGTATCTACGAAGACGATTAGTCTGCGTAGGCTCTACACCATCGTGGATGCTTACTGTTGAACCGCATTGAATTCCATCCTGAGTTTCGTCCTCATATACAACGACCTTAACGATGGCCTGGAAGTAGTCTGCGTTGCAATGTGGTAAGTGATTGTTTAGGCGTTCCACATTGTTCCGAGTTGCTGAACATGATAGTGCTGGACTAGCGACGGCCAAGCAAGGATATGCTGCAGCGCAGAGGAGCAATGACAGATCGGAAAAACTTACATCGGTAACGAAAGTAGAAGGCTGCAGTCAAATGAATGTATCGGGCGATAGCGCGTGCGACTATGGCTGAGCAAATGTGGCGCCGAATAGTAGGTAAGCTTCTCAAAAGAGTGTACGAGAACAAAGTTCTCAACGCAGCCAGCGCGGATGGAGCCCGCTCCAAATGAAAGAAATGTATATGAAGATATTTGGGCAGGATCCTAAAGAGTGACGGGCCAAATAGCAGGAAAGGCGGTTGGAGGGGTTGCTAGGCTATATGCTGTATACACGGGGGTTGCAACATCCGAGAAGGAATAACGAAGAGCAATGGTCTCTGTGATTGACGCAACGGAACCGCTTGGGCGCAAGTTTGAGAGAAGTGTCGCGACGCGCCTTGGCTGCAGGTGATCTGGAACGGCCACAGCAGAAGCGTTCACCCAAAAGAGAGTCTGGCGGGGATGGTGTAGCGGGTGGTGGACCGGGCGCAAGGCTGCTGGGATGCCAAAAGGCGATTAGACGCACTTTGAACGGTCGCACCAGTCGTTGTCTCCATGATCCTCTCGGCTGGCTCGGAGAGGCTCCTCAGGGCTGCGCACCAAGTGCCCCATGTTATTGAGGCCGAGCTGTTAACATGGATACTGCGCTGCCACGGCCATCGTGACCACATGCCGACAGGGAGTTGTTGGTCGATGAGTTCAGAGAAAAGGGCATCCCAACACTGGTTCCAACTCGGACTCGAGTTTCAGCGCTCGAACGGGATGGTGCATGTCGTTTATGGAAGGATGGAGTGATGGGAGAGGTTGGCCATGAGATACGCAACTTCCCGCTGTATCAACTCCACTACCAGGGTTTAACCATCCAGTTTCATCATAGCTGGAAAAGTTTTGTCTCAA